AAATATCTTACAAATAACTCTATTTTATAGTTTATAATGAATAATTTAATATATGCGACTATTTGAACTAACATGTAGGGTTGACATCGATAAATACCTTCATAAACTAACAGTAAGAGACAGTAACTTACAGTAATGATTTCTCATAGTTACTATTATAACTTGAGAATTATATAGATTCTTAGATATTTAGGAAACCTTCCTTAATTTTTCACATTTGGTTATAATTGTATATAATAGTAGGTAATAATTAATTATAGGATATAGTGTAACATTAATAACATTAATTATATGTGCCCATTACCTGTTATTCGGTTATTAATAAACATTGCTAATGACAATTGTTAATTTTAAGATCTCAATATAAATACAATTTTAAAAGACACTCTTAAAACATTTATAACAAATACATCTTACTACATTGACACACATATTTTTCTTAGATATTACTTACAGTGATATTATTGTAAATACAGCTTTAATACTATATTGTTCAAATAAGAATGTTTGAAATTACTACTCTCACTTTATCAACATGAAGTGCTCCTAACATTTTAAATGGAACATCTTGCTGTTTGAGACAATTCACTTTTTCAAAGCCTTTTTGACTCATAATGTTATTGCCTAAATAATATTACAGTTTTTACAGAAATATTGAATCTTTCTACAGCATTGTAATCGACTTAAGCAATATCATAAACTTTTAATATCCTTAACGTTGAACTTCAGTTTGACGTTGAAATTATAAGGAATTTACAATAAATAATCAGATTTAAATTTTCTAGTAAAATATACATATGTAAGTTTCTGATAATTCAAAAAATACATATATTTTCATGTAAAAATTGAAAAAACTTTAATAATTATGAACAACAGAGTTATCAAAATTATCTTAATTTTTTTTATTAACAACATCATTTATCGTATTCTTTGATTTTATCTACAGTTCAGTTTCAAATCGATATAAAGTGACTATTTGTCAATGTTATGAAAAATGGTACAGGAGTCATGTCAAATATCAGCGGCGCGGTATGAGTATTAAATATACTCATACATAGCATTAAATTCAAATAAAGGTGGGGGAAAAGATGTAGAATCTCGATGGTACAATAGAGACTACTTTAGAACCTGTTGTAATTAATCCTAATGAATCTAAAAGTGAAGATTCAGATTTTGATGATTCGCTAGATGAGGATGCGGGCTACTAGTAATTCACATGTTAATCGACCTTTTTACAGAAAAATTCAATATTATTTATGAGTATATTTAATATTCATACCGCGCCGCTGATATTTGACATGACTCCTGCACCATTTTTCATAACATTGACGGATAAGTCACTTTATATCGATTTGAAACTGATCTGTATGTATACTTACTTTTCTCTAAAAAAAATATAGTGCACAGAAACGTTATGAAATTAAAAAATATGGACCAATTTATGTATAATAATAACTATATAAATATAATTTATATATAACATAATAATATAATATATAAACGGTCGCGACGGATAAAGAACAATTCGAAATAGAAAAGTCTAGACCAACTTTGGATATAATAGTCCTAAAAATATTTTTAAAAAACTCAGTAGTTTTTTATTGTACTCGTAAATTTTTTCTATACTAACTTCACATAAAATAACAGAATCACATAAAATTTCAAATAATCGTATAGATCGATTAAGCCTATCCTACTCTTCGTTTTAATTTTCATTTTTTTTCAATTTTCTTTATTGTTTGTTATATTTGGACAATTATTTTAAAGTGGCGATACTTAATAAGCTCGTTGTTATGATATTCAACAAATAAAGATAAATTGGATTATTAAAAAATTAATTATGCAAAACCAATTATCAGACTTTTTGTTTTAAATATACGCTCTAAATATCATTAATGTAATTTAAATATACGAGGCGTCACATTGAAAAGTAAAATGGTATTTTTGAGTAGACAAATTTGATTTTTGGAAAATCGGTCAGATACCGCAAAATTTGTATCGAGGACATCTTTTGAAGTAACAACCATTATCATATTATTTTTCCTCTGTGCCCAGCAATCCTAACTCTTAAAAATTGAATGAGGTACTGTTTATTACATCATTAGAAAGATTATTTTTATCTTAATGTAACAAAAAATAATTAAAATCTGTCCATTCGTTTTTGACATATTTACCGTTAAAAATAAAATTTCTTTCAATCGAGTATACGGCAATTTAAATACTTAAATCACATTTCAAAAGACCACTAGATAACACTATGCTATTATAATATTGCTGGACTAAATTTGAACTTTTATTAGTATTAGATTAGAGTTTTGAGGCCCTATTTCACCAAGAGTGTTTAAAAATTTTAAACGCAGTTAAGCTTCTTAAACTCAGTTTAAGTACAAAACGGATTTCACTAAAACGGTAATCTTGGTTTGTGGGTTAAACGGAGTTTATAAACTAACTGGTGTTATAACATACTCCTAAATTTTCAGATACGCAAATCTTCAGTCACTCCCAAAAATTCTAATACCACGGCTACCATGGAAAACCCTGTATATGTATTTTAAAATTAAAAAAAATTGTGATGTATACCTCTTGCTATGGTTTGATTATGATTAATTTTAGTTTAAAGTTTATTGTTAGAACTGGTTTTGAATCATTTTTTTTAAACTACATTTTTACTACCTTACCCTTTTGCAAAGTGTATTTGTGTTGTGCATTATTGAGTTGAAAAAAATTCCAATAGAATAAGTTTATTGGTTTATTGATTCTGGACTATTTAGTAGGTTGGTATGACGCTGCAGTCTAGCTAAATTTTTGTACAGTTATTAAAAGCGAAGTTAGTTTAAGCAGTTAACGGACTCTTGCGCCAAACTGGAACTAAATAAAAGTTAATTTAACTAGCGTTTAATTTTAAACTTCGCTTAAGTTCATTAAGGTTGCACCATTTATAAAAGTGAAGAGTTTAGGCCTTTATATTTGGAATATTTCATGTTGGTACAACTAAGTTGTCATTTAAGAAAAAAAGACCAGAACACAGAATATAGGTTCCAAGTTTTGTATTCTCAGTATTCTGTGAAATAGACATTTTTAAGGTTATCGAGGTTTATTGTTTATTTTGTGTTTATTGTATATTATCAATCATCAGATATTATTTACTTGTGATGGATATTGAACAAATAAACATATATTATGAAGATGTTTTTAATGATTATTTGGAAATGTTGGAGATCCTGAAGAAAACTTTAAATTTTTAAATAGAAACCTATATTTTTTATTGAAAATTCAGAATCCTTATTCATGCATCAAAATTAGCAAGTTTTGTTGGAAACATTTTTCAAATTTATCAAGAAACAAAGCAAAAATTTGGTAAATTATTTCAAAAAGCCCTATAGGGGCACCAACGTAGTTTTGAGAAACAACCTTATGAGAAAATCTACCCTCAACCATGTCACAAAAAGATATAATATTATTTATATTATATTTTATTTTTCCGTCTAACTAACTGGTCCCATACTACAGTAAAGTCTATTTTCGTTTAAACTGTTCATAAACCATCTAAATTTATCGTTTATCTTAAGTGAAGATTAAAAAGTTAACTTTAGTTTATACAGGGTGATTCATTTCGAAACGGAATATTGAACCTATATCGTATGGGTCCTACGCCCTTTATAATCGAGTTACAGTGCGTTTTTTGAATTTGGCTCATTTCTGAATATTTGAAAATTGTACATGATGTTGTTTTAGGGTTAGTCAAACTTTAATAATTTTTATTAAGCCGGATCTGGATTTAGAATTTTTTAGTGGGTCAATAAATTGTTCTAAAGGTGTAGATTATCTATGCAAAATATCAAATAATTATACTGAGTGATTCAAAAGTTATAAGCCCTGAAAGGAAATGGACCAAATTCAAAAAACACCCTGTAACTCGGGCGTAAGATCCCTACTATATGGGTTCTATATGTGATCCCCTGGATGACCTCTATATGGGATTAAAATATTTTCGTTTTGCAATGAATCACCCTGTATAAGTGGTGCAACATAAAAATTAAATTTAACTTGAGTTTAGCATTAAACTACTTTTAAATTCCATTGGTGCAAGAACCCGTAATTTATTTAAAAGGTAGCTAAAATCTTTATTATCAATTTTATTTTTCAATTAATAATTGAGCTATTAAAAATGCCGGTTTTAAGATCTATTTTTGACCATTATACCAATGCATTATGCCACATACAAATATTTCCTTTAGCTGGATATGCAAGATGTTGCAAATAATTCTATTTTATATTTACAATGAATAATTCAATAAGCTACTAAATGAACTAACAAGCTAGTTGGGTAGGCATAGATAAATATAATACCTTTAATAACTAATTGTAACGGACAGTAACTTAAAGTAACGTATTCTAGTAGTTACCATTATAACAACGAATTACATAGGTTCCAGTTATTGAGGTAAACCACTTAAATTTTTAAGATTTTGTAACTTTATTTTACCTTAAAATATTAACTGTCTGTACCCATTACCAGTTATTTCTGCTAATGTAAACAACAATTTCTGTTGGTCAATATTGGACATTCAGTATAAACGATAGGATAGGACAATATTCAATTGTTACTATTAACATCTCAATGTTAACAAAACTTTAAGAGGTAAAAATACACTTGGAACATTTACAACACACATCTTATTATATTGAAACACCTATTTTTCCTAAACATTACTTACAGAGGTATTATTGTAAATACTGCTTTAATGAATGTACTATTTTTTGTTGTGCAAATGTCTTTTTAAAGTTTAGCTCATTTATAAATATTTGGAAAAATGTATTACATACATTTTTTGTCTGGTATTAGTAATAATCCACCTAGAGAAGTTTTACAAATGTTATTGATCTAGACACCGCAGTACGGGAAAATTGACAGGAAACCTTTTAATTCCAGTGTGTTCATCATTACCACACTAACTTGGTCAACAGAGGTTTTCGTAACATCTTAAATGGATCAATCAGCTGTTTGAAACAATGCACTATTTAAGCCATTTTGTTCCTAGTGGTATAGGTTAATGTCTTTAATATATTTAACTTTGATGTTTATATTAAAAAGAAAATACAATAAATAAAATTTAAACACCAAAAGAATCAAAATTATCTTAATTTATTTAATAATAAAATCTTTTATTGTATTTTTTTGAAAATATCAGTGAAATGTGTTCAAAAGCCGAGACCTACTTTGGAACAGTGCTAAAATTAGTTTTGAAAAGTTCTGAACAGTTTTTTACCCCTCTCCTATGTTTTCACTACACTATTGAGAATACCCTTTTATATTATAAAAGTTTCATTTGTTCTCATCTTCAGATTTTTAATTCTCTTTATTCTTTGGTTATTCAATTATTATCTTTAAGTGACCGTACCTAATAAGCTCGCTGTTTTGATATTGATGAAGTAAACTAAATTAATAAAAAAATAAATTCACAGCCATTAATTAGAAAATCTCTTAAAATTCTAATACTGAATATTTATATATGAAATAGATTAAATAATTAGAATCAATCACATATGAAGTTAGTTTTTACAATTCGTAGGTCTTAAAAAGTAATTACCCTCATATGATGGTTCGCTTTTTTATAGTTTTTATGGTTTTTTTATAGATTCAAGAAAATATTATTATTTCATTGCTACGTTATTTTAATAATATTATTATTTATTGTTTCATTTTCTTAAGCATTCCTTTAGATGTTGAGGTTTTTTTGAAAATTTATATCTTCAAAATGATATCGTACCAGCCATGAAAGAGACGGAAAGTTGAAAAATGCTATAAGAAAGACAGGGTTAGAAACAGTATACATATGATAAATTATCTTAGAAAATTGTGGGTTTAGATACAATTTCCTTTTCTGAAGGAAAAAATACCGGCTTTGGCTTTATCAGTTACAACTGAATTTCCGCTATACTTATAGCTGGTCTTGCTGGATAACTAATATCATCATTTCCATATTTTTCAACTCGTGCTTTTTTTATAATCTCTTCGATCAGTATCGGATCAATAAAGTTGTCATCTACGAATGGTTCAGTCAAATTAGACATGGAATGTTTGCGTTTCTTTAAAGGCAGTCTGATTTGTTTTTCCTCTTCTAACAAATTCATGGTTCTTTTTATTTCATTGCGCTTTTTGAGTTCATTCGTCGTCTCTTGATTACTTGAATTGTTGGTACTATTAATGCAACTACCACAATCTGAATTTAGTTTATTGTTGCCGCAATATTCTGTTTGAGAAGTATTCAAGGCAGGATCAGGGGGAAGTTTATTATTTCTGAGGTCCAATGGTAAAGGAGACACTCTCTCGAATTCTTCGACTTCTGGTATGGATGAACCGAAAGATGGATGAACAAACAAGTTGACGTTAGAAAATATTCCTTCCGGAATTTCTTGTCTCCTGCACGTCTCCTTGATTTGATAGTGATTGTAGAATGCAGGAACTAGTTGGGAATTTGTGCTCGTACCAATCGTTAGGTTTTCGAATGATTTCGAAATATAATGGCAACATAAATTCGTACAGGCAAAGGAACTAGTCGCACAATCGTCTAAAATTAAATTTATGTCACTTTCCTTTTCTTTAAAATTCAGCTCTTGCGTCTCCCTCCAGTTGCCTTCATAAGCTCTTTTGTAAAATGCACTGTCGTTATTAGGATTCAACCGTGTAGGCCGTTCATTATTTCTTTGCCTATTACTCAATATCTCTTGAGACTTAAAGGAATTCAATCTGCTGATAGTTTCAAAACATTTAATTTTTCTTGTTTTTTCAGAAATCTTCTTCCAACCCTCTATTTCAATGTCGCTCAGTCTTTCCACGATGACCAACGGTTTGCTTTTAAGTAACATGTCATCGGGGATTCCATTTGATGGAATCGTTTGGATGGTCTTGTTGGTGGGGGGGTTCGTAGAAGTAAGAGTGCCCGACTTGCAAACGCTGTAATTTTCGAGAAAAATTATTCGCTTCCTTTTTTTACTGCCCTGGTGTTTATCTTCCATCAGTTTGTCACTATCATTTGCTCCTCCGAAATTAGAACTGAAGGTCGACAATGAGCTCCCTTGGTTTTCTTCTATTACTGGTATAGAAGGACAAACGTCATTTGCGGAGGAGTTGACATCATTCATGTTATTAATGCCACTACAAAAAATTTAGAATTTTAAATTGTTGCCTAATTTTAATTTAAATATTTTAAGTAAAATAACATTTCGTTTAAGCAAATATGTTACTTTTTTATAAATTCAAACTCAATTTACGTAATTTACTCCCTGAATAACAATGATGATAATTCTTTACCTATCAGAAAAAAGGTTTACACATTACGTAGTCGTAAAACATAGCAGATATGATTAAATAATAATTGCAAATTTAGTGAATACCTGCTAAATAATTAAAATAATAAAAAAAAACTTCTTCAAAATAAATCACTAATTACTTTAAATTTTAAAATAATATATAAAAATATTAACCGAATTGATGTATTCAAGAATGGATAAAAGTCAGAGTATTTTAGAAATCAAATAAGAATTAATATACATACTTTAAGTTGTGGACTTCTTGAATGTAAGAATTCTTATCATCCTTTGCGTCGTCGAGCACTTTTTCAGTTTGATTTACAGCCAATTTTTCAGTTTTTTCAAAATCACTGCAAATTGAACCTTCGCCACTAGTGTTGCTTTTAAGTTGCTGTGGTGGTGAATTTGGTGTTAGAGACTCCGTATTTTCCATAACAATATTAGTATTACATTCAATAATTTCGACTTCATTGCTATCGATTTCTGTTTCAGTATTATTCAACAAGTGAGATGGTTCCTCATCAGTTTGATTCTCTTGAATGAGTTCTTGTTCAGGGAGGTCTTCGAATATTACGCTAGATCTATTACGAAGGGTAGATAACTTATTCCATTCGCTTGTAGTTGACGCTATTAATTCATGAAAATTAATTGTCATGGAATGAGGCCAAGGCGAACTGGATCTCTCATCATAATTACATTCCCGATCATTGTAGGACTGAAAATTTTTAGATGAACCAGTGATATTGTTTTTTTCTTCAGAGATATCAATTTCATCATTGACAATAATAGGTTCTTGGTTGTCATTTCCTGTTCCTGCTGGTCTCTGCGAACGATTATTTTTTGATTTTTTAAAATTGTTTTTTGTTATTGGATTATCAGCCTTTGACGAACTACAAGCCGTAGTATCAATCGAATCCAAAAATGACAATTCTTTTTTCTCTTTCGGACTATTCTTTTTTCCAGTCTAAAAATTAAGTTATATTAAGAATTTTAATGCAAAATAGACCTAGTAGTAAAAATAACAAGTAAAAATATACTGTCACGGATAAGGGCAGATTCATACTAAATAAATGTAATAATAAATATTATAAGGTTAATGAATTAAATAAACTAACTACTCAGCAATCTTGGCGAATTCAACATTGTAATTATTGTATAATATAAACAGTGCAAGTTGCTGAGTAGGCAAGGTCGCGCGGCAATGAATCAAGAATGTACGTTTTCATAAAAAACATGACATTGCGATAGAGTACGTATGGTTCATCGGGAAAATATTGATAAGGCATTGAAAACCTGGCACATGGTTCTTGCGGGGTCGCGGTACGAGCAGGAGAGGCTCGGCGTATTGGGGTAACGAAAAGAACCCTGGAGTGCGGGATACCGGTAAAAGTAATCGAGTCAAAGTCGAAATATACGAAGAGTTAAGAGTGTCTTGTGTGTCGAAAGCAGACAGACGACAAAAGGGCAATGATCAGTTGGGTCGGCTTGTAAGTGCTATATTATAATTAGTAATTCGTTGCAGGAAAAATATTAGTTAAGATATACACGAGGGTCTTGTGTCCAAGATACAGGGTGGCACATTAGTATGGAAAAGTTCAATATATCTGTTATTATAGAAGATATCAAAAAAACTTCTTAACAAAAGTTGTAGATCTTTTTAAACTGCACATTTTAAAATTATGTTGCAAAACCTGAAATTTATATTCAATTCAATCCATTTAGTTTCTACAGTGGTATTAGTACGATTTTCGTGGAAACGTGGTCATAACTTTTAAACCACTTAGTATAACGTTATACAAAATTATATTTTTGGAAAGCTGAAAACGAGCTAAATTCAATTTTTTAATAAAAAACAGGGCGTTTTATTTAAAAAAGTATTAGTTTGATCTACTACGGAAAAACGGGACACTCTGTATCAATGTAAGTAATTTTAAAATGTGCAGTTTAGAAAGATCTACAACTTTTGTTAAGAAGTTAAGATATCTTCTACAATAACAGATATATTGAACATTTCCATACTTATGTGCCACCCTTATGTATAAGTAGAATAGGTAAAAAATTAATTTGTAATACCCTTGTGAATACCCCTTTCTTATCATACTTAGGTAACCCCCGACATACGAGGCGAACCGACGACCCCTTACCTCGTGACAACACTGTACAAAAATACTATTCCAAAAATTCGTACTTTTTTAACTTAAGTTCTTTATAAAATTTTTGACCAATTATAAATTATTTTTTATGAGCATCCTTTAAATATTTAGACATGGTCTCTTCACACACTGTGTACAATAGAGTTTTTCAACACAAGTTCTAAATACTTTTGACCTTGCTAGTATCTACCCTACAGAAACCGTCTCCATATCTTTAAGGAAATCCTTCTAAAAAATATTGAAAATAGGTCGGCATTTGTAACATTTCTGAAAAATACTTTTTCTCAAGTATGCATTTTTGCGATATATTGTTAAAGTTGAGTGGTAATTTCAAGTACCTCGGCCGAGCTACTAGGCTTTTTTATAAACTTGGTGTGCGAGTAGGTGATTACACGTCTGCCAGGGCTGGCAAGGGGTGGAGGACACTTGGTCGCCGCGGTTAATTTTACCCAAATTGAATCCTTTCTCGATTCGAAAGGTATGGGTCACTTGGTCGCCAATACTGGATTAACGGTTTCTAGGAAGGACTGATAGGAATATCTACATTTTTAAAATTCTCTGGTAAAGTTAGTATTTGAATTTCGTCCTACAAATTAATAAGGATGTTTATGTTAACGATTCGCATATTATTTTATTTTCTTTCGAATCAAATTTGACATATTTTTGCTCTCGTAACACAATTTTTGCGACGGCACATTTGATTATTGTCCCTTATTTTTTGTGCAATTTTTTACTATACACGCTATTGACAATGGCCATTAGCATATTTTCTCCTACAAAACTGCATTTAAAATATTAAAGGAGTATTGCTGTAACAATTTAAATTTAATTTGGAATCCATCAAAAGTAGTTTGTGGTTTTGAAAAAGCCCTACACTGGCATAAGGCAAATTTGGCCCGACATTTTAGTTATCGGATGCCGATTTCATTTAAAACAGTCATGGTTTCGAAAAATTCAAATTACACATTCATAACACATCGGCCTTTTATTTTTAGAGAGTAATGAAGTTGCAGATTGTTTTGGCCAAGATTTAATTCCTATAATGCCAACCGATGAACGATTACTTTCATTTACTCTTTATATGATTATTACATAATATACTAACGACTCTTCTGACTTCCCGCCTTTAATGTGTTGACTTTAGACACAGTTGTTCATATTCTCTGAGCTATATGTGTAGGTATAGGTAACTAGAAGATCTCAGCCAAAATTATAGATGATTATAAAATCTACAATCTTGTCTAATCCGATTAAAATTATTTTTAATAAGAATTGACCGCGTCGACCAAGTGACCCATTAAATTTTAAAACTGGCGACCAAGTGACCGGTAGGATTATGGAACCCCGCAGACAAAATTGACCGCGGCGACCAAGTGACCAACACCGCTGGCAAGAGACAGTCAATAATCCGCCTCGTTTGTGTACGATTTCCCGGGAGGTCGAGTTGTCACCCGAATTCTAACCGGTCAGTTCTTATAGGTCGAGTTGTCACCCGTTACCTGGGGTAGGTACGGCAGGGTGCAATTAGGTTTTCGATTTATCCTACTTCGTTCAAAAATCCTAAATATTTTTTGAACGTAACCAACTTTTGTTTTTTTTTATTTAGATAGATACATTAAATATTTTTTGAACTTTACATATATTTTCATGATCATGATTCTGAAAATATTAAAATTTAAATAAACTCAAATTTTCTTTTACTTACATGTATGTAGAATTTATTTAATGAAGAAACGCAAATAAAAATTTGAAAATTTAAAAAAACATTTAAAAATTTATGTACATTAGGGTGGGGCGTATAAAACGATTGATTACTTGTCGCATGGAATGATTCACATGCATTTGTGGTTTTTTGAAAGGAAGGACATTTTGAATTGCTGTCAATGTACGTTTCCACTAAATAATTACAAAATTTTGTAACTTTATTGCAATTTGGTTTTATCTCTAAAAGTTCCAATGCAAAACATTTACTATTTCTAACCCAAATCAAAAAACCCAACATTATTAAGCAATTAGACCCTTATAATCTGCATCGAACGGATAACAATAGACGGGTGTGACAACTCGGACATGACCTTTTTTCGCACAGGTAAAATTTTGAAATTTGGTTGACAACTCGGACCTGTCCCGATTTCCAAGGTACGGTTGACAGGTCAATAATGGTACCACGGCGAAAAATAAAGAACCATAAAGAATTAAAAGGCTGTGTGAATTTGTTTATTCCAGTGCTAGTAAAGGAGATTGACAACGAAATATGCTAGCCCAAACAAATATGACAAGACCTTGGATTTGAGAAGAGAGAAGGGAGGAAGTTCAACACTGTTGAGCGAATTACAAGAGGAAGACTTCGAAGAATTCAAATCGTTTATAAGGATGAATTTGAAGCAGTTCCATCCTTACTTGATGGGATAGCTGCCACAATTCAGTGCCTGTAAAATAGATTAGACCAGCCGAGTGGGTGACATTAAAGATAAATTCAGCAAAGTTGAACACATCTGTAAAAATGCACACAGACGAAACTGGAGAGCAATAATTAAAACATTCACGAATATCAAAAATATAGTACTAAACTGTCACTGAACATCAATAAATTACTAAACAAATAATGACATTTAACAAAAACTACACGGCTATTTTTTTAAATTGATAAGAAATAATTTCTTTCATATTTTATCCGCTAGACAATAAGTATTTTTGATAATATTGTTGATTTAACTATTAAAGAATGTTACGCGTTACTTTATGAGTACACACAAATCTATTGTATTTTTGTCCACCCTGTACCAATTGAAATCAACATGTGACACATTTTTGGAATCAGCTCAGCTAGAGTAATCCGAAAATTGAAACAAAATGGGGGTGTTCCATTTAAAAAAAATGACGGTGACGTCATTACTCGAAAGTAATTCACCCTGTATATTAGAATATTATTTTAAAATATGGTAAATTAAAGTGTTTCAGGATTATTTCTTAAAATGGTCCGTTTAGCTAAAAATGAATTTGTTCCATACTTTACGGACACAGTGTATATTATTAAAAACCTAATTTATCTCGAAAATAAAGTAGCTAAATTAATTTTTTTTAACATATTTTAACATATTTTTTTGTTTTGAGATATTCAATTAGAATTATTCTAATTAGTAATTATTGTACCTAATATACATATACACTGTGTTATTTATAAGATGCGACATAGGGATTCCTGTACAAATGTGTCAAACGCAAGCTAAATTTTTAACCAAATAACGTTCATAAAAAATAATAACAGATTTGAAAAGATCGTAAAAAAATAAGTGGAAATGGACATTAAATTTTCTTAAATTCGTTCTGGTTTATTAGAAAAATGTATAATTAACTTGAAAAAAGTCATACGTCATAAAATTCATTTCTATATCACTATCTAATAATTGTAAAAAGGGGCGGAGCTAACAGGGTTGATTTATTCGTGTTTCGGGCGTAGTAATAGGTTCTCATTAAGATGCAATAAAATCTATTTGCAATAATATCTCGTTTCGTGCGTTTTACACTTTAAAGTTTTAGCTAATTTAGAATACCTACTTTTATCTTAGATAGTATGGCCCGTATTCAGCGCCTCACTTTAACTTTAGGTTGACGCTCTGAAATTTGAAAATTTCAACGGGAAGGAATGTGGTTTAATCCCCCCGCAGTGCTGATTTTTTTTTTGTATTTATTGTTTTTTTAATGATTTTTTGTCAAGAATAAAAATATGGCATTAATTTAAAGGCTCCACCTACTAACGAGATTTTGCATTATAAAAATTGACACAATTGTCGGAGCTTTTATTTAAATAAAAATAAAATTATATCTGTAATAAGCTCGTCTTATTTAAATACTTTTTATTTTACATTTTTTTAGACAAAAACATTAAAAATCCAAAAAATAACTTTGGCCCGAGCGCGGTTAGAACTACATTACTTCAAAATTAATTATGGCGAATTAATTTTTCAACTTAATTATTCATTTTTTTAATAAACTAGAACGAATTTACAAAAATTTAATATTCATTTCGATTTATTTTTCGACGATCTTTTCAAATGTCATTATTTTTTACGAACGTTATTTGGTAAAAAGTTAGCTTACCTTACCTTACCTTACCTTACATTTGTACAGGAATCCCTATGTCGCATCTTATAAATAACAGTGTATGCGCTACTAGCCGCAAAAAGGGTTGCCATTACTTTATCGATATCACTCTACCGCTTCCGAAATTGCAACGAAAACTTAGGCGAGACCACCGTCGTTTTTGATGTTGTATGCGCAAAAAAACACGTGGGGTATTCAACTTAGCTGAATTTGTCTTTACGCGATTTATTTCGCACCACCGGTACAAAGGTCCAATTTGGATTGTGGCTAGTAAAATAAATTACACGTTTTTTTCAAGATATATCTAAAAAAATGAAATAACTTAAAAATGATGCAGTTTTGGCTTATGCTATTATTATCAAAGTCGCGTTAAAAAGGACCACAGAATCCAAATGAAATCAATTTAATTTTTGACACTTTCCATATAAATATGAAATACTGGTTGAATGGGAAGTTAACCGGTATTACCGGAAGTTACGTATAGTTGAAAATATTTTAGAAAAACTCATAAACTGGAAATTAATATACCTCTTTGTTTTTTGAATTATCCTCAACATCATCGTCGTCATCATCTAAAATTTCAAGAACTAAATCTTCAGGATGAATGTAGGCGGGTTCGTCCGAAATAATAATACAGTCATCATCATCATCATCATCAACATCCACAGTTTTATTAACATTTTTTTCTTTTTGATTATTTTTTTTTGCCTCATTTGTTTCAGTGCGTTTACAATCTTCCAATAGTTGTTCTAGTTCGCTTAGTTGCTTTGAACTCTGAAACTTTAAAAAGGATTATTAAATTTATAATAAACAGCTATTTCGTTTGGCACAATCACTTACAAGTCTGCTTGATCGGGGTTGGCTGGTTCCTACATTTTCTTCCTTATTTTCATTTTCATTATTATCGTCCAAGTTTATTGATTTTACATACTTCAAATAAGCTTCACACAATTCTTTATCGTTATTACTATGCTCATCCTTAGAATCAATGAGTCCACTAGAAGTTGTTATTTTTTTCCAAATGGAATTTGTTCCTATGGTATTTGGATGTCTACCGTAGAGTTCTTTTATTATTTCATCAAGAGTTGGCCAACAATCGGGTGGTATCGTTTTTTTCCATCTCTTAGATAATACAAATGCACTGCAAAAAGCTTTATCTGACTTATTATATGGTTTTCGAGAAAAAATCGCCCTGGAACACATAAAATTGACCATAGTACAATTACTACTGCATTCGCATTATAAAGGGCGTCTACTTAAATTCGCAACATATGGGAAACTATTAACTATTTTATTTTATTATTATTATTATTAATTTTACGAAAAAAAGGTTATTTTTCATAAAAAGTTCTGTATGGTCTAAAGAGTCCTGAGATGCAACTATTAGATATCAAATTTAGTCAATTTTATGCGAGGTATGTCAAAAAAATAAGATTTTAGCTCACGAGTAAAGTACCTTTATTTTTCAAAATATTCCAAAATGTTATTATGAAAAGTTAATTGAAATTGTAAATCAAGTGCAAATATGCAGTTGCTTATTATTTCTAAACGGAACGGAATAGTACTATTTCAGAAAATATTTGTAATTTAAAAAAAATCAATTAGAGGGATGGAATTACCTGATAAAACATAGTTTTTAATTTCAAACTACTTCTCATAATAACAATTTTCGATATTAGGTAAAAATATTACTTTTTCTCAATAGTAAAGTAGGTACCTACAAATTGGAATTGGTTGAATTTTAGGTTTTGGATTATGCACTGCTTTTTAAAAATAATAACTTTTATTTTTAATTATTTGAATTAATTCAATTAAATTTTAATTAATTAATAAATTTTTATTATAAAATGTTAATTATAAAAAATTTCCGATATGTGGCCAATTTACGGAGACACACTGTAATAGAAAAAAATAATATTACATAAAAATAACGTTGAGGTAATTCTTGACTGCTTCAGATGACATATCAGATTGCATCTTCATTAGAACATGATGATATCTGTCTTTTCGATTAATTAAGTAGACACTTAATAAATTTAAAATCCGGGAGCGCATAACCTTTTTGTTACTTATTCGTCTTCTGGTCTCATTAATGTATCTCTTTACTTCACAATCCAAGTAGAAAGCTAGAATATCTTCCATGGAATCTAAATAAGTATCATCAGAGATGACATTTAATCTTTTGAAGTTTGTATGAAAATAAAAAATGTGCTTTTCTATTTTTGCAGAGACATTACGTGTTATTTTAATGTCTTTTACTTCAGTACGCAATGAGCTAAAAATTAACAAATATTTAAATTCGCCAATTTTTTTATTATCAATATTGAATAACTCACTTAATGTACCATTTCATAAAATTTTCTAAAGTATTAACATCTTCATAACCATAGTTAATTTTCATTTGATTATAAAAACTATCCAGCCACATTTGAATCCTTTCGTCATTACATATATAATTGTCTGAAATAATATATAAATACAATATAAATATTTTAAAGATTTTCATTTTCAAAGCTTACCTAAGTCGATAATTTCTTCAGTATTTATGTTAGAAGGCGGTGGATTTGCCATTTTTATCAGTGTATTATTCCAGTTAATTACTCTGAAATAAAAGAACATAATTAAACTAGCGACATAACTCTTTTCAATTTTCATCGGTGCACCAAAGAAGACTTTCATTGGCCGCGATTTTTTATTCTTAACGGTTACATCCTATGAATATACCCTGCAGCCAGATTAAACAAGTGTCTTTTCAATGCTTATATACTTAAAGTGTTAAAAAACGATAAAAGCTTCTACCGTTACAGCGGATGCATGCAACTTGAATAAAAAACACGGCCATTAGTTTCATACATATAAAGAAAAAAGAACGATTTACAATTTTACTCCTTTAATCACTTTTGTTAAAAATCTTTGTTCAACTCATAGAATTGACCATATTTCAAACAAATTTGCGCCCATATACCGGGTGTTTAAACAGTTTAGAATCTATCCGTTTATACCAATATCGAAATGCCACCCCAACGGTTAAAGGGAGGGTCAGCTTTAAAAATCTAAATGAAAATCGTTATTTCTTATTGAAAAAATTAATTTTTCAAAAATTCGTAAATTCACCGTACCGTATAAACAAATCAAGATTAAAGAGTAATAAAGAATCATAAGTCAGCAATATCGATATACGGGCATATCCGAACTCTGCCACAAAATAAAATGTTACCTGAATTGTTTCAATTGGTGGAAATGGTGTCGTCTTATTTTGTGACGTCCCGTTTTGTGCCGCGACCTTTTTCGGGTAAAAATTTTCCCGTTTTGTGACGCGACAAATTTATATCTGTAAAAGACCCAAATGAATTCCTGTTTTGTGACGAGCATTTAATAAAACATAATTAAACTTAGATACAAGTTAAAATTGCAATATTTAAAATAAATATGATTATCATGATTATTTTTTCTCGCATGTCCATATTTTTTGGTTGATCTTATAGTACAGATATAGTATAGTATACATAGTACAAGTTACTACGATAAAAAAATTCTGAATTGTACTGGTAGTATCAAAAATGCAGTGAATTAAATATTTTTTTAATATACTTTATATTATTATTAGGTTTTAGGAATTTTACAAGTTGAGAAGTTAATTCTCTCACGCCTCTTTTCTACTATATCTTGAAAAGGACTATAAGTTATAGGTACTTACTAATATACATGGTATATGATAAAACCATTGCGTGGTAAAATTTGTCGCGTCACAAAACGGGAAAAATTTTACATGAAAAAGGTCGCGGCACAAAAAAGGAATAACCCGTTTCAATTTGGGGATTACTGAATGGTTCGAACTCTGCCACGACCATTAAGTTTAATCCTATTAGGGTCATTAGGGTTTATTAAAATATTACCTAAATAAAATTTAAAATTTCAACCCAAAGAAGTCGTAGTAGATTTTGAACTAAGCATTCATAACGCTATATCTATATTACTGTTTTGGTAGAGATCAAATTATTTTTGGTTGTAAATTTCATCTCTGTCAAGCTTGGTTTCGAAAGATTCTGGAGTTTCATTGGGTACAAGAGTACATACAGAAAGATTGTGTAATTGGAGACTACTTAAAAGTACATTTTGGAATGATGTATCTTAGACCTGAGGAAGTTGTTAATTTTTTTAATAACAAACTACATTTTTTGCTTCCAAACGATGAGAGAGTTATATAATTTCGCAATTAGGTCAATAAAGCGTATAAAAAACTAAATTCGATATTTTCACCACATATTTGGACAAACAATGCATACTTTTTTAAGAGGACAACTAATTCTTGTGAGAGTTTTCATTCTCATTTTAATAACTCTTTTTATAAAGCATACCCAAATATTGTCTAATTTATTAGTGTGTTTTTGGATTTTCAAACGGATATATACGCGAAAATTCGTTCGGCGAACCAAAATCGGAAAAAAAAACAAAAAACATATTGATACAAAAATTAATTTTATTCAATTATACGGAAAAATATAAGAAAAATACTATTTATCGCTTTATATTTGTGAAAACGGTGACATGTAAAAATCTTCTTCAGATGTAATTTTATTTTATTTTTATGCGTATATTTAAACGTATATATTTTATTAAAATGTACATACATGTATTTTTTGTGACAAATATACGTTGAAAATATCGGAGTATCCGAACTCTGCCACAAAATGCAGGTAGTCATTATGGGTTGTTCGAACTCTGCCAGGTTTTAAAATTTTAGGGATTAAGTACTAAACCCGTAGGGGTCTAATTGTTTAATCCGATTTAACAATTTCATAATATATTTTCAACGTATATTTGTCACAAAAAATACATGTACATTTTAATAAAATATATACGTTTAAATGTACACATAAAAATAAAATAAAATTACATCTGAGGAAGATTTTTTACATGTCACCGTTTTCACAAATATAAAGCGGGAAATAGTATTTTTCTTATATTTTTACAAGAATATTATCACAAGAATTAGTTGTCCTCTTAAAAAAGACTGCATTGTTTGCCCAAATATGTGGTGGAAATATCGAATTTTGTTTTTATACGTTTTATTGACATAATTGCGAAATTATATAACTCTCATCGTTTGGAAGCAAAAAATGTAGTTCGTTATTAAAAAATTCAACAACTTCCTCAGGTCTAAGATACATCATTCCAAAATGTACTTTTAAGTAGTCACCAATTACTCAATCTTTCTGTATGTACTCTTGTACCCAATGAAACTCCAGAATCTTTCGCAACCAAGCTTGACAGAGATGAAATTTACAACCAAAAATAATTTGATCTGTACCAAAACATTCATATATAGCGTTATGAATGCTTAGTTTAAAATCCACTACGACTTCTTTGGGTTGAAATTTTAAATTTTATTTAGGTAATATTTTAATAAACCCTAATGACCCTAATCGGATTAAACTTAATGGTCGCGGCAGAGTTCGAACCATTCTGTAATCCCCAAATTGATACAATTCAGGTAACATTTTATTTTGTGGCAGAGTTCGGATATGCCCCTAAGCCTGGACAAAGTGTGAAGGAAAGTTTTAAATAAAGTAAAATAAATTTGATTGTCATATAGTTCCAAATATTTTGCAACAGGCTATACTTTATGTGTGTACGCAAGTGGGAATATATATCGCGTTATTTTTACTTGACTCGAGAGGTGACCTAGCCGTGTACGCAAGTGGGACAAATTTGACCATGTATACGCAAATAGGACGTATAATATACGCAAGTTGGAGGATACCTTCGTTTCGAGCGTAACTCAATAATCCGATTAGGGTAGTTAAGACGATTTTATTACTTACTCCGAAGAGAAGTTTTAATAAGGAATATCAAATGATATCGAAGTAGATGAGCGGACGCAGGTCAACTACAAATATTTTATTAGCTGATAATAATTATCGAGATCGACCTGTCTCATGATAGGTCAACCGGGCAAATTCCAATATTTTTACCTGTCCCCTAAAAAATTTCATTTTTTTTAATGGAACCACCCATTTTTTTCTATTTTATTGAAATCAGCGATAAAAAATTAGGGAAGTTCATGTTTACTTCCCTATACCTAAACCTAATAGTTTTGAAGATATTAAAAAATTTACTTAAAACTTACTTTTCTATCTTATTCTTAAGTAACTCGGTTTTACAAGTTGGCCATGTAATATTTCACAAGAACCAAAATTAATAATCAATTAATTACAAACAATTTACATGGCCAACATGTAAAAACGGATTATTTAAGAATAAGGTAGAAAAGTAAGTTTTAAGTAAAATTTTTAATATCATCAAAACTATTAGGTTTAGGTATAGGGAAGTTCAACTTTTCACATGTTTTGTATACACCCTGTATAAAATACAAAGTTTTTTAAAACAGATTCAAATACCTTTGACCTTGCTAGTGACCACTCTACAGAAACCGTATCCATATCCTTAAAGGGATCCCCGTAAAAAAATAATTTATAAGGGTCTGCATCGGTCAAATTTTTCAAAAAAAAAATTTGAAACTCAAAAAGTATGCATTTTTGAAAAAAGTTTTTTTAGACAAAAGTACTCTAAAATTTTGCCTACATTTCGAAAATATATTAATATATGGGGTGTCCCATTAAAAATAACAAAGTTGCTGTCCACTTCCGGTATAACCGGAACTAAAGAAAAGTTGAAAATATTTTCATTGAATAGAGCGCATCGACTAATACTTGTACACATATTTTCAAATTTTAATTACAACTACTTTTCCAGATACTTCTAATGGGCCCTCGTCGTGACACACACTGTATAGGGTGTCCCAATAGTGCGGTAAAGCCCATTTACTCAGTTATTATAATCGGGGTCGCCGAGTTGTACCACGGGATAGCAGGTAGGCCTAATCCTACTACCGAGTTGTACCACCGAATTTTCTAATGAGGCTTAACGGCTTAAAAAATAAAACCCGACAATAACCATTAACAATTTTATTATAAATTAGATACAAAATTATAGTAGAAAATAAAATAAAATAAACTAAAATAAAATAAAATAAAATAAAATAAAATAAAATAAAATAAAATAAAATAAAATAAAATAAAATAAAATAAAATAAAATAAAATAAAATAAAATAAAATAAAATAAAATAAAATAAAATAAAATAAAATAAAATAAAATAAAATAAAATAAAATAAAATAAAATAAAATAAAATAAAATAAAATAAAATAAAATAAAATAAAATAAAATAAAATAAAATAAAATAAAATAAAATAAAATAAAATAAAATAAAATACAATAAAATACAATAAGCTCTACTGCGGCAAATAGTAAAAACTTAAAGACTTTACAAAATCAAATTTATTAATTTTGTTTTCTTTAAATTCATTAATTTTTAATGCTATAAAATCGAATTTCTTTCTTGTAACACACTTCAGTTTTTTATTATTATCTGATTCACTGGCAGTCTTAATTTTAGCGAACGTCTCACTTTGTATATTTATTAGCATGTCTGTGAAAAGAAATATACAGAGTGTACGAATTCTTCCGCTGCAAGCGTTAGAATTAGAATCTCAATCAATACTATAAGATAGTAAAGAACAGAAACTTGTTTATCGGTTGC